TTTTGCACACTGCTCAATTTCTCTTTCATATGCTTTATCTAGCAATTTGCCTGTGACATCTGCTCTGTTGGATGGACTGCATTCTGGTCTTAATGACTGAACTATGTTAATGAAGTGTGGGTTCTCAATCATACGGGAAAGAGAGTTTGTTGCAGAAACAAATCGGGCAGTTTTTTTCATTGATTACCTCTTTCCGTAATCTGCTGGTTCTTATCACAAATTTATCTATGGTTGTTTCTGGATGTTGGAGTTTTTTTTTTCTTTTTGCTACAGGTGATATACTGTGGCTATGTGACACACATTATGTGACTGAAACACTATCATTGGCAGATAACTCTGAAACTATAGAAAATGATGGTGATCTTGAAGGTGGATAGTCTTCAGAATCCTGTATGTTGAGGATGGATTCTCCTAAACAAAATAAGTCAATGCAGTTATTTAATTATTATTACCATACTTCTCATTTAGTATTACTCATTGCATTCACTGACACTCAGTACTACTTTAAAGGTGAAATTGTGAAAGGAAGATCTGCCTATTTCAGCTTTTTTTATCACAACTGCATCTAAAATGATAGTACCATAGAATAACTACTATATTTTTTTTTTGCTCAAACATGAGAATTCAAGATTAGTCTAGAAGGAAGACAGGCAGTCCTTAAGAAGTATGAAATAAAAAGTTTACCAAGCTGAAGACCCTGCATGTTCAGACATGTTCCTTTCATCATCTTCAACACCGCTTCCTCCTGAGAAGGAACACTTCTCATGATGTTGTTTCATTTGGGCAACCAGGCCTTGCATTTCTGTGTTGCACTGTTTGCATTTTGCATGCATGCCTGCCTTACTCACAGGTGAGGCACTTCATTAAAATATTCCCAAACTGGGTCTCTCTTACAGTCTGGTGCCATTATAGGTTTTCCCTTCTAGTGAGGATGGTATGGTAGATCTCAAATGAGTGAAGGCTACACTAAGAAAGACCTCAAGACTTCTGGAATATGCTGCTCAAAGAGTTTCACTCTTGTTTCTACTGCCTGTGCCTCCCTTCTCACGTTTATCTCCAGATTTCGTCTTTGTCCAGATCTATTCCGCCCCCAACAATCTTCTATTCACTGAACTCTTTGAAACTTTGAACTTTTAGAGAGAGGTAAGGGATTGACTGTGTACACAAATTTGCAGAGGGACCATAGGATTGAGGTCTGTTATTTCTGACCTCTATATATTTATTTAAAAACATTTTTGCTGTTAACAAGCATGTTATCTCTGGAGACACAAATCCACAGTTTGAGAATTGTAAAACTAAGCATCTCTGATGGTGTCTTCTAGACTGAGCACCGAGTCCCATTGGGTAGATAGAAAGATTAACCTAAGTAATCTATACAGAAGCCCCTGGAACCCCATAAGATTAGGTCCGTAATCCATGAACTATTAGAATTCATTTACAAAACTTTTCTTAAACATTACATGAATATAGTGTCTCATACTATAGAATTAGAATTTATAATCCCTATTCCATGATGAGACATTATAGCTCAAAGATATATCTTTATCTTTAGATAGGATTTTTCTTTATAAAATGCTTTTTGAGGAAAAAACCTATTTAAATTTAAAAAAATCAATTTGTTTTTAAATCATTGATTTTTATCCATGATGATTTCTGCTAAATCATCATAAACAAAAAATAGCAAGTTGAGAAAGTGAAGAGAGGGAGATGTTAGTACTGATAGTCATTGCAAGGCAGAAGCTTCAGTCGATGGGTCCCTAGACCATTATTCTTCTACACAGGCAGCAGGGCTTCACCCTGCCTTGCAGACTGTCTGCAGTCGTCAAAAGATCTAAGTGGTAGTATCTTGTGAAGGTGGAGTTTGATGGCCTCATGGCTGCATTGCAGATCTCTGATGTGGCTTTTTGCCTTATAGTTAATTATAGGTGATTTAAGGTCCTTAATTTGGATGGAAAGAAATAAAAAGTGAGGAACATTTTCTTATTTGTGTGTGAGGCAGATATTTATAAATCTTTTGACATCAAGCTTATGCCAAAGATTGTCTTGCAGATGTTTAGCAAATGTGAGGAAATAATAACTTCTTAAGAGCCACGGAGAGATTATTTTACTGAAGGAATGAGTTTGTCTGAGATTTATCTTATCTTGGTGAAGGTCGCTGTGTGATTCTTCCATGGAGAGTACTGTTATCTCTGAAACTCTCTTGTCAAAGATAATGGCTACCAGAAATCATATTTTTATTAACAAAAAGTAGCTATCTTATGTACAAGGCTTTAAAAATAGGAAAGGAAGAAGCCAATAAAAAACAAATTTAAATCCAATTCCAGAAAGATGGATAATCTAGGAGATTGACCAGTTTAACTGCTCTCTGAAATGTGAGAATTTGGGGATGTGAAGTATAAAAAGATTCAGCATCTAAATTTAGAACACTCCTGAAAAATGGACCTTTAAGAAATAGGCTCCTAAACCTAGGGCCACAGTATCTTGCAGAAACTGTAGATTATTTGACATGTTTGTATCTTCAGGCTTCACTTTTTTTTCCTGTACTGGGAAGTTTTGTAAAAAGGATATCTTGGAATTTGGAGAGTCCCTTCATAAAAAGAGGAGGAAGGAAAAGGAAGCACTGTTTATCTTGTTCACAGGATACTGACCAAGAAATAGAGAATGAAAAAGAGTGCAGATTCTTCTGCTCAATGGAATTGTTATCCCTGCTTAATGTTTTTAGTGTAGCAGAACTTCTTATGTAACACACAGACATCCTGTGTGTTTTGTTTTTTAAATCTTGAGGTTTTTAAGAAACATATCAATTTTAATTTGCCAGTCTAGTAATTAATTTCAAGAATCAGCAACAACCTAACACTTCAAGCACTTGCCCTCACTAATTGCGCTGCAGAATTTTCATCCTCACAATATACTGATTGTTGCTGTTCCCCTTGACAAGCAGCAAGGTTAAACTTCTCACTAGCTTCCTTACCTCTTCTAAAATCAAAATAACCAACCTCCACAATCAAGCTTCTTTTTTCTTCCTCTAACTCCTTCTCCCTTGCCTGGATAGCGCCCTGATCTAACCACCTTGAAGAGTCCTAAAACTAACAACTTCTTTAGAAGCAAAAGCTCTGACCTGCTTTTCACTTGACCTATGGTTCTTTCCTGCTGCCATATCTATTCTCCATCCCAGCCTCCATCACAAGCCTGCTTGTGCCTCTGCCAGTGCTGCTGCTAACCGTACCAAAAGCCTGGCTCACGTTCCCAGTTGCTTGTTCCCACCTGCACCAATTTCCAACTGCTGTTTACCTTCTTACCCTTGCCTTAATGCCCCTCTTCTGGGAATTCCTCATGTTTCCCCTTAACATAAGCATGACCAGCTTGACAAATGTCATCTAGTACAGTAGTAATCTACCAGACTGCCATCTTCTATATAGTACTTTTGGAGAATTACAATTGGATATGGACCTGATCAAAATATCCTTTAACTATGAAGTTTGATCTTCTCAAATGGCCACTGGCTCTAAAACTTGCCAGTCTAAAAACCTGGTTCTGAAGACTTCCAAACTTAGGAATTTCAGATATGAGTTTGAATTTTGCAGCTCAAGGCCACTGCTAGTTACAAGTATTATTATTACTCGGTAAGCTTATGATCACACATGCAGGTTCTTTTTATTGCTTTTAATATGTTTTCTCTATAATGCTTTCACCTTAAAAATAAATGTGCTCACTTAGAAAGAGCCGTGTGGTAACTTACAACTGTGGGCAATTAACCTTTTGTAGCCTCTGATGAGAAAGCAAAGCACAGTCTGGCTTGCTGGTGCACTCCGTTCAGCAGGGAGCTGTGCAGTCTGGATGAACCCTAGTCAGAGAGAGATGTGTGTCTCTACCCAAGAAAGGTGACAGCAGAGAAACCAGGAGCCTACAGTGGTTGCCCTTGCTGGGCCATAGAAGGGAAAGGCCAGTGCAATTTCCCTGAACTATGCCAGTCCCTGACTCTCATTTAAAAAAAAAAAAAAAGAAAAAGAAAAAAAGCTCTGTGCTGTAGCCTCCTCTTCTATGGGAAAGATGAGGGAGATGTGTGGGGAAAAGGAGGCTTATTTAGTGGGACTTAGAGGTGTATGGTGATGCCACTAGGAATTATTTCAGATATTTGCATATGCCTCTGTTTTGCATTTTGCATTTCCCTGCCTGTAACAGACAGCAGCTTTCTCATGTATCTGACTTTTAACTCCCTCTACTTTAATGTTCTACTTACTATATTATTTTTGAAATTAATGAAAAAAGAGCTCCTTTATGCTTCATGATCCCTGTTCTAGACTAATTCAGCTACAACGCCCCACAGCTGTGGTCTGCACTAAATCCCTTATGTTCTGCTAGTTTTAAAATAAACATCAGAAAAGCTGTTTACAACCATCTCTTATCAAAATAGTCTATTTGTAGTCAGCCTTTCATTTCCTGAAAGGTTTGCGGGAAAGGTAATATACAGTAGATGTTTTCTTAGTGGAAGCACCAGGTGGCACTGTTGCCATGAATGTAAGGAAAAATTAATAATCGAGAGACATGGTGAGATAATATCTTTTACTGGAACAACTTCTGTTGGTGAAAGAGACAAGCTCTTCAGGACCCGAAGAAGAGCTGTGTAGCTCGAAAGCTTGTCTCTAATATCCTGGGACCAACATAACTACAACAACACTGCAAAAAAACAAAAAAACCCCAGCTTCATGTTTTTAAACGTTATTCTATGTTTTATGATTATAGCACCAGGCTTTTCTAAAATATCATTAAAGATGTAAAATAGAATGTTCCTATTTTCCCGGTATCATTCAGTACCGTTTGAGTGAAACTTGTCAAGAATGTATAATACAGGCAAGTGCAATGTGACATTGTAGACTTATGATGTATTGAAGACTATAATACCATTGGGATCTTGAACAATTTTAAAGAACTACACCAAATATATTACTGGAACTGATATTTAAAAGCTATTTTCTTATCTTCCCTCCCATTCCCTGTAGGTCCTGTCTGTAGTGCATGTGTGTCTTATTTTGGAGCAAGACCTGTGACAATCTTCAGTGGTTTTATGGTGGCTGGGGGCCTGATGATGAGCAGTTTTGCACCAAATATATATTTTCTGTTTTTTTCATATGGAATTATTGTTGGTAAGAAATTTCACTGTTGTTCATATTGAGACTAATCATTCAGAAACTAAATGTTGAATTTGTATAAAGGCTGTTATTTTCAGAATAATGACCAAATTCTGTAAATGCTTACTCGTGCAAGCAGTTCATACTTTAGGGCTATGTGTGGGCACAGGGGTCTGCTGCACATTTGCAGGTGCAGGATTGGGGCCTTACTTATCAAGGAATAGAGAACTGTTTATTTTAAGAATTAATGGATTATGTTACAATACTGCCAAATATAAGGAGTATGAAGGCTTTTGAGGACTCCTCAGAAGATTAGTCTCAAAACTAACGTGTAATTGCCTTTCCTTGATATTGCTGATTAGTAGTGGAAGAAGGCTCATATTGTGTATTAACCTACTTTCTTCAAGTTTTCTCCCATAACTGTGAAGTTGTAAATTTGTAAGAATAAAAGCTTACAAGGAATCATGTAGTAGAGGAATAGCTGTTTATTAATTTTAGTTAACAAACCAGAAATCATTAGGAAATAAGTGAATAGTTACCTTAAGTTTTCTTCATGTAACTGAATTGAAGTTACAGTGTTACATGAAATTGCAGTATTCCAACTAGCTAGCAACCAGCCACTCTGTTTGAAATAGTCCAATGTAGAGTAAAACAAAGGAAGGAAGCATTCCTATTTGATAATGGTTGGATTAGTATTCTAATCTTAAACTACCTGGCACACAATTAGCCATTCCAGTAATTCGGAAAATCCGTCATTACAGCTGTTTGGATGGAAGCCAATGAAGCAGTAGTCATTGGTAGACTCTGTGATTCATATGGAAAACAGGAAGATTAATACTGACGTTTCACATTAAGGTTCCTTTTAGTGTAATAGTCTTGAAAAATGACTTTATCGTTTAAAAAATGGCAGGAGTAGCTTTAGACAGTCTGGCTATGTATGTTCAAAATTAAGGTAGTTGTGATATAGACTAAGAAAACATACAAAGAGCATTACTGGTCTTTGCAATTAGTTGGATCTGGAGGTACAGGCCAAACAAACTTATGCCATGTGATTAAAAAGTATTGCTTGTGCTTTGAAAATAAGTCTTTAAAATTCAGAAGTCTGGTGGTGGTTTGTTTTTTGTTTCTGTTTTTAAATCTGGATAGAAAGATACATTTTTATAAATATGAATTTATCCGATGTAAAGAAAAACAAACAAACAAAGATAACTTGAGAGAAACAAGAATGTAGACCTAAGATTGTATTTATAGGTTGATCTTTCACATCCAATCTTTAATTATATTCATTAATGATTCTGCTCTACATGTTTTAATTGAATGTTGTCAAGTATTAGCTAGTTTTTGAATTTTCTAAAAGGTAAACTATGTATAAAGTTTTATACAGGATACCTTATGCTTTGATAAACTTCCTATATTTGTTAGGGCTTGGCTGTGGCTTATTATATACAGCAACAGTAACCATCACCTGTCAGTATTTTGATAAACGCAGAGGCCTTGCACTTGGTTTGATTTCAACAGGTATGTTTTTAAAATATAATTTATAAACTAGAGATTTGTAGTATGTCCTATACTGCTTACTGCTGATATTAGTGACTAATGAAGAATCAGAAAGGATTAGTCAAAAATATCTTTAACAAAGCCAAAATGTGGTCAATAAGAACATCACTGATTTGATGAAATGATGTAATAAGAACATCATTGATTTATATTTATAATTGGTTTCAGAGTAGCAGCCGTGTTAGTCTATATTCGCAAAAAGAAAAGGAGTACTAGAGTACTACACGAAAGCTTATGCTCAAATAAATTGGTTAGTCTCTAAGGTGCCACTAGTACTCCTTTTATATTTATAATTGTTAGCAGTCTATATAGCCATGAATGATAGTGCAAAATAACAGAAATGATGCTCTAGAATAAAATGTAACTCTTTTTTGTTTGTAATTAGAATTGCTGTTTGTCTAAGCTTATTAGGGGACAATTAGCAAAGCTGTAGTTTAAATGGAAATTTTCCTAGACATTGTTGGCTTTGACTTTTAAAGGGACGCTGAAAAGTTTGTTTGGGTTTTTTTGTTTTTGTTTTTCTAAAAAAGCTTGAAGTCAGCGGCACAAACCACGCTACTTAAATATGTGCATGGAAGGGATCCGCTGAGTGTGGATCTCTTGAGACAGTTTGGCTCAGTCTCCAGCACAGCGCTGTCCCATTCATCCTCTGGACACCTGGAATTGTCCGTGGTCCTTACAGAGAAGGGGTTGTAGACTGAATAGGCCAGCATGGGAGTGGGTAGAGCAGGGCGTAGTTGAGAGTGCGCATTGTTCCACCTCTGGCCCTGTGGGCTTTTTCTCTGAGCCCCCTTCTGTAGCAGTTTTGACCAGATGTGGAGTCTTGCTGCATAGTGTCTAAATACTGTCCCACGCCAGTGTCTTACTGTGGCAGGGCATGATCTGATCCATACTATTTAATTTTGTCAAAGTTGTGGTTGTTTTTGGTGGTCATGTCATGTGTGGAAGACAGAATAATTCTGTGGATTTTTTTGTCTAAATTTTCCCCAATGTAGTACAATAAAAAATTGTTCATATTTATGTCATAACTCTGTAGAATTTTTTTAAAAAAACAACCCCCAAAATTAGTAGACTTTCTCCACCATATTATAACAAATTTACATGACAAGTTCCCATTGATTTTATTCAGACAACCAGATTCAACACTGTATAAGTAGCTGGAACTCCATTGACAGTAGTGAAGCTGCATTCACTTAAACCAAGGGCTGAATTTGGCTTGACGATTTGATATAAAATAGTTATTCTGATTACTTTGGTAAGGCTGTATAAAATGATTGCTTAGCAATTATTTGTGAATGCCTCTGAATATTCACACTTGTGGAATGCACCACTGGTCACGCTGAGCTATAGAACACCTTTGGTTGCAGCCTCTTGTTCCTTCTGCAAAAACCACAGAGAAAAAATTCTGAGGAAGGTGGGCACCTGGTGTGCTTATCCTGAGTTCTTATTCATTATTTAAAAACACGGTATTTCAAGTTGACACCCTTTTAGTCATTCATTTCATACTTTATTCATATTGGTATTTTAACTCGTATTAATCCTTGTCGACATGATTACTCCCAATACGTTGTTTCCAGATATATTGAAGTGGCAAGGGTTTTCATTCATGACAAGCATATATTCAAAAAAAGAAAATTTAACTTCAAAAGGCACAACTCCCTGGATTTATACTGTGAAATCCCCAGCAAGCCAGACTGCCTAAACAGGCTTTGTCTCTGATGGCTGTGATCAGTGTATTGCCCACAATATAAGTTATCACAGTTCCTTCTAAGCAAGCACATTTTCTTAAGTTAAAAGCATTACAGAGAAGACTTTTTAAAACAAGAAAAGAAACCTACATCCATGATAAAGTTTACCAGAGGTCACCCTTAACTCCAGCCTAGGGCTCTGGTAGGTTTTATTCCCTCAAAATCCATAACTGGGTTTTCTCCATGGTTACAGGTTCATATTTGTCTTAAATCCGTAACTATCACAATGGCTGTGCAGAGCAGCCATTTCTTTATAGAGCTCATGGCCTTCTGTAACAGGTAATCACCAGACAAAGACTCTCTTCATGGTAATTTATTTGCATAAGGGGAATTGGGTAATTTTCATTAACCTCTTCCTAGGGATTCCCCATGAAATCCACTTAACACTTATTTGTCCTAAAAGACCAAACTTGTCTGACACCTTTTCAGTATATACTGCCCAGATTTTGTATCTTGCATACAATCCCAACCCATGTTAATACATACACTTAATATAATATGGCAATTTCCTTGAAAGACCATATCTGTCAGTTATATTTCACAGTATCTTTAATATTAAAGCTTGCTATTGGAGAACTGAAGTAACCTCATGAAATAACTTACACTGATCTTATTTCCTTTTCTAGGTTCAAGTGTTGGACTTTTTATATATGCAGCATTACAAAGGGAACTCATTGAGCTATATGGACTAGATGGATGTTTGCTAATAGTTGGCGCATTATCGCTAAATATACTAGCATGTGGCAGTCTAATGAGACCTTTGGAGTTATCTGATTCCCCTTTGCCAGAAAAGTCATGCCTAGAAAAAGTTGCAGATCAATACTTGATTTACCATGAGAAAGAAAATGTTGAAGAAAATACAAGCATCCTAGAAAAGGACTACAATGAAGAAAAATGTGTGAATATGTCCAGTCGTGAATGCAAACAGGATAGCATTTTAAATAAGAATGGATTAATATCGATACATGCAAAAGAGACAGACACTTATAAACAGAAAGTTGTAGAACAAACATACTTTTGCAAACAGCTTGCAAAGAAGAAGTGGCAACTGTATTTAAACTACTGGGAGGAAACCTTGTTTCTTTTTAAAAACAAAGTATTCTCATCACTTTTTATTGCCATCTTACTTTTTGACATTGGTGGATTTCCTCCTTCGCTGCTTATGGAAGATGTAGCAAGAAGTTCAAACATTAGTGAAGAAGAATATGTTATGCCTCTTATCTCCATTCTAGGGATTATGACTGCAGTTGGTAAACTTGTTTTAGGAGTACTGGCAGATTTTAAATGGATTAATACTTTATACCTATATGTAATTACCTTAATAATGACTGGCGTGGCCTTGGTTGCAATTCCATTTGCGAAAAGTTACATTTTACTGGCAATACTTTCTGGAATTTTAGGTTTTCTCTCTGGGAATTGGTCAATTTTTCCATATGTAACCACAAAGACTGTGGGAATTGAGAAATTGGCACATGCATATGGGATATTAATGTTCTTTGCTGGACTTGGAAATAGCCTTGGACCACCAATTGTTGGTAAGATATTGGGTTAAGTGATGTCAAATTCTAATTGTTATAGTTTTTTTTTTCAGTACCAAATTAAATACATTTACACTGAAGTCAGTTCTAATTAGTTATGATGATAGTAGAATGATGAAATTCAAATATTTAGAAAGTTACAACACATTTCTCTGCAGCTGACTAGACTAATGTAAGGGAAATATAAAGATGATGAAATATTACATGTTGTGCTAAACAGTTTTTAGATTATATTTGTTTTGCATGTTTTATGGTTTAGTATATACTGTTTGTAATGTTACATTTTGTTGTGAATTCAAATATGATTCTCAGTACATTTCTACATGTCTTCAGTAATTGCATATCATTGATCTCACTTATTTTTTCTTTTTCTTTCCAGGTTGGTTTTATGACTGGACACAGACATATGACATTGCATTCTGCTTTAGTGGACTTTGTGTTCTGCTGGGTGGATTTCTTCTGTTGGTGGCAGCTCTGCCATGCTGGGACAACTGTAATAATCAGAGTGCAAAGCCACCTCCAAATATTTACTCCTACACAGTTGCATCTAGTGTTTAAATGGCAGCTGGAAAACACTTCAATGCCTTTTTATAGCATGTACTATATAGCAAAATATTTTAGTAATTTTTCCACTTATGAAATACAAAAATCCTTTTACAAATAGAAAAAAATCCAATGATACTTGACATTTGGAATAAATTAGGCCTCTTTTTTTAATGGAGAAGGATGGACTAATGTCTCCCTTCAAAGGTTTCCAATAGCTGTACAACAAGAGTCTTGGGGGGTTGGGGGGGGGGGGAACAAACCTTATCACCTAGAATGCAATACGTTGGTGAGGTGCTTATATCATGGTAAGGTCAATGTTTCCTTTTTTAAGGTTCCCCGCTTTATTGTAAAGTGCTAATGAGAAAAAACTTCTATTGCATAACTGAAGTGAACATTATGGTAACATTTAACATTCTGCATACCACTGCAAACTAAGATGCTATGCTACAAATATTTTGCTGCACGCTTTTTGAAATTTGTTTAAAAACTGTTGAACCAAAATCTTTCAAACCAAGGAATAAATATGATTGTTGAAACCACCTTTAAACTCTGACACAGTTATGCAAACTCCTCATCCTACATTGGATTGGAGCTGTGGGATCTCACCCCCAAGGACATGTTCCTAGGTACTTTCACTTATTCTTGTTCTATTAATTGAGTCCAGCTTTTCCAGGCCCTGTGCATTGGGATCAGTTTCACCACCTTTCTGCAACCCAAATTCCCACTGAAGTCGCTGCATGGTTTTAAAATTCCTTAAGTAAAAACACATGCATAATTAAAAAACATTATTTTTAAACTGTTACACAAAGATTGGTTGTGTGCTTTCTGTCATGGTTACCAAGTGAACTGCACTTTAGACCCCTGTTAGTCCTCCTTAGGTGACAGGCCTGACTTCTTGCACCTCTCTGGGCAGAACCACATGTTCCAGCCACTCTGGAACTGGTCTTTAGGTGTCTGCTCCTATTTATCAACCATGTTAATGCAACAGGCTCAACTACATTTGGCACTTGTAAGCCCTTTTTACTGTGGGGAGCTGTGACCACCAATTTGATTGGTTCAAAAAAAAAAAGTCTTCAAAACAAAGCATTATTTATTTATTCACTGAAAGGTACAATGTAAAGCCTTATATGCCTAGGTCTTACTCATACTCTAATCTTCCCTTGCCAGCTTCTGCAAGTTCTCTTCAGCCCAGCTAACCTCCATCTCTGGCTGGGGAGAAACACTGTCCTGCTCAAAACATGCTACCTCTCCGTCTGTCTGTGTTCCCTGGTTAGCCTGGTCAATGTTTTGCTGGCACTTTCCTGGGCAGTCTCTACCCACTCCCTTAAACCCCCACCCTTGTCTAGGCCCTGGGATCATCTAATGTTTTAGGTTGTCTTTGATTCTCTTTCCAGCCTTGGCAAAGGAGCTGTCTTACCAAGGTTGGGGCCAAAGAGTCATCTCTTCACAGTTATAAACCTGCCTTGTGTGTGTTTTGGGAAGTTCTTTATCTAGGCTATTATGTTGCCTTTCCTGCTTGGTTGCTCAACCCTAGTGGTTCTCAAACTGTGGGTTGGGACCCAAAAGTGGGTCACAACCCCTTTTTAATGGGGTCGCCAGGGCTGGCGTTAGACTTGCTGGGGCCCGGGGCCAAAGCCTGAGCCCCATCACCTGGGGCCAAAGCTGAAGACCGAAGGCTTCGGTCCTGGGTGGTGGGGCTCAGATTGCAAGTCCCCTGCCTGGGGCTGATGCCCCTGGCTTTGGCCCCCCACCCAGGACAGTGGGGGGCTCAGGCTTTGGTCCCCACTCCTGGGGTCATGAGAACCCCTGCTCTACCCATTCCTCTTCCCTCTTGATCTACACACAGATACATGCACCATGTTCATAAAAAAAATGCAGATATTTTCTTGTTCATCACACTTGTCCTTTAGCAATTTATAAAATAAAGGTGATTCCATATCCAAGTGGGAATGTGGAAACTGCAAGTGGAAGGAGGAGTACTTTCATACAGCAGGAAAACCCTCACTGTGTCAAACGAGTCTGATCTCTTATTCCTTTATTTTTGTTTTCGTTAGTGTTTGCTAACAGGATTGAGGTAGGGGAGGTCTGTTTTTTTTGTACGTTGCAGATCACTGGCCATTTGTGGCTGTGTAAAGTGACTTTTTTCCCTGAGGTGTTAAACTATGTGTGTTGGAGAACTTTAGGTAAGTATTTAGTGTGTACACATTTGCCATTTAGAGAACCTAAGTTTCAAATGTGGGTGCCTAAAAGTATTATTCAAATTCTAGGTTGGGCAATCCATATGGCCACACATTCAGAATTATAGGGCAGAACTTCAGCAGGTGCAAACTGTCCTAGCTCCATTGAAGACCATTTACATCATCTGAGGGTCTGCCCTATCAATAAGGCTACATCTATGTCATGGAGGTCACAGAAGTCATGGATTCTGTGACTTTCTGTGACATTGGGCCCCGCAGCAGCTCAGCCACCGTGGCAGCGGGGGATTCCTCACAGCTCCCAGCCGCCCCCATGCCCCCGCTCAGCTTCCAGTCCTGCAGGGTGGCAGGTGATTCCCTGGTGCTCCCCATCCCTTGCGGGCAGGGGGGATACCCCCCTCCCAGCCACTGGGTAGGGCAAGGGTCTGCAGCTCCCTGCCACTGTATGCTGTGGGACAGGGTGCTGGACCATCCTCCCTCCCCGTTTTGTCAGGGATGTTTTTAATAAAAGTCAGGGACAGATCACAGCTTCTGTGAATTTTTGTTCATTGTCCACGACTCTTTCTAAAAATATCCATTACAAAATCATAGCCTTACCTATGAATACATAATATATAGCCATAGAAGTATCATGTATTATCTTTAGCGAAGTGTATAACATCTTATCCAGGACACATACACCTTAAAGAGGAATACATTGCCTCATCTTAAATCTTGTTCTTTTTTCTCCCGATACACCTACTTTTTGACTATTTGATAGCCTTGGCATCATGAATATGAAAATATAAGGACAATTCTTGTCATTCTGTCATAAAAATTAAACACTGTAATGATAGAGCAATATCGTACATCTCCTCGTCAGAAATAGAATTTATTACTAGGCAATTTGTCCAAAGATGGCACTGGTGTCTACGTCCCTGATGTAACCTCACCTTGAAGAGAGGCATAGGGCCAGATCCTGAGTTGGTGCAAAGTCTGTGCAGGGCCATTGACTTCAATGGAGTTACACTGATTTACACCAGCTAAGGAGCTGGCGTACCGCTGACCGTATGAATCTCACCTTTTTCAGTGAGTTTGATACATTGAGAGAGGAGAACTAGCAGCATTTATTATGGTTGCGTCACTTTTCCTTTGGTTCTATATTTAGGGTAATCCCTGTTTTAAATACTCGCTTTCCACCTGACATTAACTCTGTGGTATGAGCCCCTAGGTGTTGGGAGCTACTAGGCAGGAAATTCAAATATTGGACGCTGGAGAGTGTGTGAACATTGCCAGTGTGAAAAATGTATTTTTCTCTCTCCTGTATAGAGGTGATTGGAAAATTTTCATCAAAACAGTTTTCAGTCAAAAAGTTTTTAAAATTTTGTGTGTGTAAAATTGTATCTACTGCAACAATTTATGTTTAGACCAAAAAAGCTTTCAAATTTTTGGATTTTTTGTTTCAGAATGACTTCATTTTGAAACGTTTCATATAGAGTGATAGGGTCTTTACTTCACCCCTCACTGAAAGTATTAAGGTAGCTGTGAAAGGGCTAACTAACCTAATAGGCTGCACTTGGGGAGAACTAAGCTGGCTAGGCATGTCCTAATAGAAGATGGAGCGCAGCTGGAGAGGAACAGGCTGAGCTAGTCTAAAAGCTGGAAGCTGAGGCCAGAGGGGGCTACAGCGTGAGGCCTGCAGTCATGTTCTACTGGTGGAAAGGTGGAAACTAGGGAGAGAATGGAAGCTATGGGGTGCTATCCATGAGAGAAGGGTCAACTGGAGGAGGGTGGAGAGAGCCTGCTGTAGGTGAAGTAGTAGCAAAGCTTGGGATAATGCAGACATTGGTTGCAGGGTCCCTGGGCTGGACTGGAACCCAGCCTGGGTTCCCCTACTAGCTGCTGGGGACAACACGCAGAGTGGGCAGTGGAGCAGAAGACTGCCTGTGATAGTCGCCCGATAGGACTCTGAAACCCTGGAAGGGGAAGACTATAGTGACTTGGCTGGAGGACCAAGCCGCGAAGGGAGAGCATACAGAGTTGCACATAGAAGGGGTGTGTGTGTGAGCGGGGTGTGCAAATGAGCATTGGGAGGGGCTAATCCCCAGAGCAGCAAACAAAGAGGAGGCACCCCAGCAATGGCGTCAACGTTATAAAGAAATGTTTCAATGGACCTAAAGCCATTTTGGGGACAGGAGTTGGTATTTGGTTTCTCATTTCTTTTCACTTTGGCTTTTTAGACAGATTTGGGATTAAATTTTTTTTAATTGTGATTTTTTTTTTATAGTACAGAAAATCTGTAATTTTCCAGCTGTCTCAATTTACGTATACTACTTGAACTTTCTCTATACAGGCTTGTTGTTCTCCACTGGCAACTGTTACAGGAAGTGTTAGAAGTATGTGCAGAGCAACAAAAACAGTTGGAAAGAGGGTGGTCATATATTCCAGAACAGCCTTTGGAGTTGATCCTGCTGAAATGTATCTTGAAAGGGCTTTCAGTTCATCACCTAAATCACTCGCATCAATATTGCGCATGTCATCGTGTGTCAACACTGTCTCTAGAGCCCTGCATTGCTGGTATAGGTCGTCTTTGGGTATAATGAGGAGTTTCGGAATATTGTACAACATCCCGAATATATTGCCGTGTTCCTTGAGCTGAATGAAACGTTCTTCAACTGACTGTATTGCACAATCTAGCACCTGGTTAAATAATTCAACTTTGAATTGTTGTTTGGGGTCTCTTATGGGATTATCCTGTGCCTCTTAACCAAAATGTCGTCATCTTCGGTGACTCTTGTATTCCTGAATGGGTGGGAAAATAGCTTCAGTGTGAAGTTCCTCGGCCAACTTCTGTGCACTCTTCAGAACGTTTTGAAATACCTCATCTAACCGGTAAGACTGTAGGTAGGACTTTGCTTTGTCTGGTTGTTCCATTGCTCCAGATATATCAGAGTCAAAACCTTGGAGTCTCTTGCTTACAACATTTATTTCAAACAATATGTCATGCCACAACACTAAGCCACACAGAAATTTGAAGTTATGTATGTATATTTCCGGTGATTCCATTTCCCTCTGCCACCGTTCTCCCACGAACAGTTCCTGTCATAGCATTATCCTGCATAATGGCAACTATGGCATCATCTATCTTCCCAATTTGGTGTTTGATAGGATTTATCATCTCCACTCAACTTTCCCACTTGTAAAAAGAAAAGGAGTACTTGTGGCACCTTAGAGACTAACCAATTTATTTGAGCATGAGCTTTCGTGAGCTACAGCTCACTTCATCAGATGTTTACCGTGGAAACTGCAGCATACTTTATATACACACAGAAATCATGAAACAATACCTCCTCCCACCCCACTGT